GGCGGGTGGAAATTCCAGGTTGGTCAAATAACCTCAGAGACAGAATTCTAAATAGATAAACATTGACTGTGTCGCAAAATGTCCATTCAGACCACACACAGTTGCCAAAACAAAAGACCAAACCATTGGTTATCTACGGAAAAGTCGTTTGGAAAAAGGCATCTGTTTTGTGTTGAAAACTGGCTGTGGTGGCGAAATTATTTTATCGGGAATAGATAACGCCAGAATGCGAAACATCCAATTGACCACCCACTTGATAATTGGCGAAAATCTCGTTGACGAATTCCATATGAAATTCGGCTGTGGTGGCGGGACTGTTTTATCGGATCAGTGGTTGGCGCTAGGAGTGCAGGTACGTCTGGTTGGCCACCCGCTTGGTGATGTCGAAAAGCTAATTGACGAATTCCAGGTAATTCGGTTAAAGATAAAGATTCTAGGGTGTGACGTCTCCTCGAAGAGAAGAAAGAAAAGGAAAAGAGAAGAAAAAAGATAATTTTTTTTCTTTGAGCAAATTTTTTAAACCGAGGCTAGTCTGGCCACACCCACGCCGCTGAGCGCCCATTGGCTGAATGGTAGCATGAGTGTGGGGGGAGGTAATCATGTGAAGTAGGAGGGGAAGCCTGTTGGCACCCCTGAAGGGATAGGTGTGAGATGCCACTGTGAGAGAGAGGGAAAACCGTTGACACCCTCTGAGGGTATGGTGAGATACCAATACGAGAACAGAAGAATGTGGGAGGACGAGAAGACTTCCTAAAATGGAAAATAATAAATTTTTCCTGACCGAAAACAAAGAAGTGGATTGTGGGTTTGGAATTATCAAGGAACCTCAAACCCCGACAAGCCCACCCCGGTTTTGGTCGGCGTCCATATAAGCAAAGTCGCAGCGAGCGAAAATCAGTTCAAGTTCGAGTTCCAGTTCCAGTTGAGAAGTTAGTTGCAGTGAGCTGAAAGCTCTGAAGACTCGCAGAAGCTGACTAAGATTCACGCAAATCACGACTCATCTTCTAACCAAGAACAATTTATTTTTGAAGAACGACTTAGACTCACACCACCAAAACAAGTTTTACGAATTTCGCTTGAAGATACACCAAGAACCAGTTTCTTAAAGAACAAACAACTTAAGATGTTAAGACTCGCCTAACAAACACAAAGTGTCACGAATCCATATAGCGGGTTGGGAAGAAGAACCAGTCCTGTACTCAGCAACCAGATATAAAGTATTGTTATCCTTTTTTTAAACACATTTGAACTTTTCGAGTTATTATTTTATTTTATTTTATTTTACACATACTTGTGCGATATCACCCTTGTTCGAACTCCACTTGCAGTACGGCCCGGCGACTGATTGATTTCGTCTGCCTAGATCAATTCACAACGTGGGTAGGTTGGACTGGAAATCAAAGCAGTTACTTCGGTAACCAGACGTTGGAGGCGAGCTGGGAACGACAAGGCTGATACCGAATCTAACCAGATTCCCATCCGAACCAGCAAAAGGTTAGAACGTCACATTTGGTGCCGCGATCAATACCAAGCCAGTTGTTCGTTACAGGACAGGATAGCACGACGGACGCAACCAGGCAGACGTCACATTTTGGCGCAGCGACACCCGGGGGGACGTCACACTATGCTTGGTCGGCTCAGGAGATTTTTGTGGCCAAACATATGGCGACAAAGATGAGGACAATAGTCCGAATAATGTAAATAACGTTCATAATACCTTATCTCAGAAATATAGACAGACAATGAGTAAGGTTGTTTCTTATGCTAAAAAATGAAAAAAAATGCTTATATGAACGAGGCTATTTTTCTTTCATTTTATAAGTAGTATTTTTGTAGGGCAGAGGTCAGTTAAAGCAAAATTAGTATCGGCGATAATAAAATAAAATATGGCTGTGTTAAGGGTAGTTTCACATCAAACCGCAAGTTGCTACGAAACCAAAACACTAACCGAAAAACTCGAGTTATATTCTTAAATAACCTCATCAGATTCCGATGTCTATATGGATTGTATTCATGGCTCCAAACTCGTTCAAAAATATTTAAACTCTCACCTGTATACAACGGTTTTCTCAGATAAAGTTAATAAAGCAGCAGTTCCTACACAGTAATATCCTTCTTCGAGCCTCATTAACTGGAGCTATAGAATCACGAACAAAGAACTGTAACTTCTTTTTCATCGATATACCGTTTCCCTGGCTTTCCACAATTTCCTGTCCTTTGTAGCTTGACTAAATTTTGTCTTTTCTCTATGTCTCCTAATTCCTGTTCTGACAACAATTTACACAAGCTCATTAGGTGGATTATGTCCTGTTTCTGTCCCTCTTGCCTACAAAATGCCTTGTCAGTGTCAAATATCCCAAGCCCCCTTTCCTCAATATGCACACTAGAAAGTACAGGTGTCTCTTTCTGATGGTAATTATAACTGTTACTTTTGTTTCCATTTTCTCTAAAACTTCGTTGTTGCTCACATGTTCAGTCAATGGTATTCTCAGCATCCTTCTGTAGAACCAAATTTCTGTGGTCTCAGGTCTCTATCTGTGAGGAAGTTATCCAGCATTCACTGCCATAATGGAGGACTGATATTACATCGTCAAGTACACTGTTCTTTGTTTCTAACAAGATTTTCCTGTTTCTTAATAGTTCGCTATGCTTTCCAAAGGCATCTTTTTGCTACCCCAATGCACCTTTGGATTTCGGTGTTGCATTTTCCGTCCTCTATTAAATTCCTTCTTGATATTTAAATTGTTTTACTTGCTTGATTTTGGTACCTGCAATTTGGAATTTGCATGTTATGTTCTTTTTTAGGAGAGCCATATATTCGGTTCTTGTTTCTTTTCAATTTTCTTTACGATATTCTGTAGGAGTTACTGATAGAATTGCATCAAATAACAGAAATCATATCACTTTAGTACGTTCTGGGTTTGACGATACACTACATGCGGCAGCAAAGCCTTGATCAGGAGGTTTTAAGAAGCATAGAACCACCTCTTAATTGCTCTTCTTCCCAGATCCACACTGACCTAAGGTGGTAGCATCTCTGTTTGGGTTCCAGCTATGAGCAAATAATTAACCCCATAAATAATGTCAAAATGCTATGAAACTATAAAAAAAAGCATTTTCACAGTAAGAAATAAAACAGCAATACATTTTTTAAAAAGAAAAACCTTACAATCAATATATCTTTGTAAAGGAAAATTACCGTTTTGTAATAAAAAAATACCAGAAATACATTTTTAAAAAGAATTAACTAATGCTACGAAGAAAAATAAATTTTGGTATTGAACTACCCATGAAAAATTGATATGCCACTAAACAACCAAACAGACACACGTTCACTAACAGCAACAACTAAAATGGATTGCATATGTCACTCAAAAGAAACTGATGACTTAATTATGATGTTGAGATTCCACACTACTCCAAGTAAAAGTTTAGGAAAGAAGCCTTCATCAATAGCAGAAAAAGCAATAACAGTTACTGTACTTGAGAAACCTATTTTCCTGAATGATTTGTTCTAATAAAAGATTTTTTTATGAATTCCATGCAAAAGTAGTACTAATTGCTCGCTCTATGAATGCCAAATGTTTCCTTATAAGCAAACAGTTAATATTACTATTATAATTACTATATCTACGCCCCGGGAAGCGAGAAGATTAAGTTCGGAATTGGGCAACAAATAGTTGTATTGAGGAACCAATTGTAATAACGAATGTATCATCCTAATTAATAATCTTACGTTGCAGTCAAGTATAATTTTGGAATGCACTAAGATTACCTTCATTCATTTCATGCAGTTCACAGAAGATTAAAGGAAAACAATTCTCTTCTTCTCAATGAAAATGTAAGACTAAATATAACAAAAGCAACGCGGGAAGAAGTTTTGGAACACGGTTTATCTGTTCTGCCCGACCCACCATTATTCATCTAATCTTCTATCAAACTGTTTTAACCTTTTCTGATAACGAAAAACCTTACTTTTTTAATCGGAATCACCCCAAGCAAGGCAGTAATGCCACTAAAACACAACGGTTACAGAGTGTGGAATGATTAGAAACAGAAACATTAATGATGAACAGAAAAAAGCAGATAGTAATCAGGCGGCCAGTAGATGGCAATTGGCATTGCATTTAAATTTTTGCAGATTAAAGCTGGAAAGCATGAAGCCGAAAGGGAGTTCCGCAAGCGAAAAGCGCGATAAAAGAAACTGTAAATATAGAATTTACGGCTGCATCTAGCAAATGCTCAACTGCATGTCGATGAGATCTTGCAACCGGTCTAACGCTGCACTTAAATTCAAAACCTATACCATAGCGAAGAGCACATTCGAACAATTACCATGAAAGTATTTATAGAAAAGACAGAGATGCAACGTTACGAGATAAGGACTAATAATATTGCAGATTCTTCTTATCAAGTAGCTCAAGGTAAATAGCAGGACACCGGACCATATGGGGCAGCAATATTCTAAGCATAGACGACTGGTAGACTTATAGATATGTAAGATAGATTCTGTAGAGAAAGATTGTCTCACCCGACAATGTGAACCGATTTTCTTAGCGACTGAACGAAGTGTTTTCATTATAATTCTTTCCATTCCATATCAGTAGATAAGGAGAGCCCGAGAAGTTCTTCTACTGTTCAATACAAATGGAAGAAGTTCAGGTCGGACGACGGTGAGCCTATGTACTCCTATTAACCAAAACATATCCTCTATAAATAATAAATTATATATTTATAATTTAAATAATACATTATATATTTATAATTTTCAATAATGAAAACTGGAGTCAAGTGTTGTTCGAAAACTTTTTCAGCTAAAATCATACGAAATTTTGCTTAAAACTGTCGTAGAGCTGTCTGATGAGTGGTAACAAGTAATTATAAATAATGGGAAATATATAATTAAATAAAATCTAATTGTACTTTATTTTTAAGAATAAAACTAATTAAAAAAATGAATTATTTTGGAAAAAATTCAAGAAACCCAGCGTTGGTGCGTACTGCCATATCATGTTGAGACACCGGTTCCAAGAAGATCACCGAAGTTAAGCAACGTCGAACCTGGTTAGTACTTAGATGGTGAATGCATGGGAATACCAGGTACTGTAGGCTTACATAGTACCCCCAAGTATGCTTTCGTGCCAACGTTAAGAATTAACTGTTTAAGCATTTTGGTATATGTTCATTCGATGTAGAGAATATGGAGTCGTAATGCAATGGTGTGCTGGATATCGTATCGGAATGAGCTGAGTTCGAATTCCAGTCGAGTTAGTTACATTCACTGATTTTAACTGGTGCATCGACTAAATAGACATACAAGCAAATGACAGTCGATTTTGTTGAAAGTTTTATGACTCAAATTAATGAAACAATTACACAGGCTATTTTCGTTCCAAGCATCCATTCATTGATTTGTTTTTACAGCTTATGCCATTAAAAGCTAGGAAATATTTTTAGATTGTAATAATGCTTTGTAGCTAATAATGATTTACTGATACAAATCCTACTATTTAACCCATAGCTAAGGGAGAAGTGGTAGGTTAACACTTTTCTTACCAAGGGTATTTAGGCGTAAGTGAATATAACGAATTTGAACTCGGCTATCCGATTAATAATTACGAGCCATTATCCATTACACCATCCGTACATACAAGCCTACAGTACCTGGTCTTTCCAAGCGATCACTCATTTAAATTATGACCAGGCTCGACGTTACTTAACTTCAGTGATCGTAAGGGAATCGGTGTTTCAACGCTATGGCGTTGTGGAAATGCAAAGAGCCATAAGATTTGTGCTCTGATATCCGCTCTGTTAATGTAAACAGAGACTAGACTGTTCATGGCAAAATGACGTGATTAACATTGTTTGAAAAAAAAAATTGAGAGGGGGTGTCAGATGGAGGGGACATTGCTTTTCTTAAAATTATTGGATGAATATCTAATGTGAACATCAGTGAGTGAATGTGACACGAAATCAAGTGAGACTGGAATTCGGCTATCCGATTAACAACACCCAGCCCTTTTCACCACCCGCACATCCAAGCTTCCACCACCTGGTATTCCTAAGTGGCCACTCATCTAAATACTGACCAGGCTCGACGTTGCTTAACTTCGCTGATCGTACGGGAACCAATGTCTTAACGTGGTACGGCCGTAAGCCTTCCAAGCATCAAAACCAGATTCTTTGAGAGAAAAGAAAATCAAAGTATAAGGTAAGCAAAATAATATAATAAGTTTTTTTTTTGTCATTAGATAGCATTAATTTTTGTTCTACATTTAACTAACTTCATTCAAAACTTAGCTTTTGATCTTACTATGATAGCTGTCATATGAGAATGCCTTTTTTAACTTGTCAAAGTTAACATAGTTTTAGTCTATTGATTCGAACACTGAAGATCGAATAAGTAACTTTTTTTTTTTTTGGCAAACGAACTGTTCCTTTCTTTTAATTTTAAGAAAGTTATAAAGCTACGCAAACAGGAAAAAAGTTCATGCAGAGAATACCGCCTGAATCAGAAATGGTTTAAAAAGATTCTTACTCGCTTTATCACTGATGGATGTTCCGAGATTGAATATATTTCTCCATTGTGTCTTGTAGGATGATCATGGCTCTCCACAACGTTTTATTCTACGTAGCACTAAGAAATGTTTCTCGATCCATTTTGACAAACTCGTTAGGTAGGTCACTCGCTTTCTCAATGCGCATATCCTGCCTTCACTCTGTACTGTAAGTGTCTTATTCGCCAAGTATTCTTTCCTCCTGCGACCCCGAAATTTCAACTATCTCTTTCTGATTCTAAGTGTCCTTTTTTGTTTTTATATTCTTTAAAACATCCTCGTTAGTAACATATCCCATCCATGTTATTCTCAGTATTCTTTTGTAGAACCAAATATCTCCAGATATAAGTGAATATAACGAACCCAACAAGAATTGGAACTCGACTCTTCGATTATCCTTTGCGCCACCATTAACTACTACCCATTACACCATCCGCACATTCATTCGCAAGCTGTCAGGTCCTCATCTTTATTGTTGTTATTAAAACGTTTCGGCCTTCCTCAGGTGTATATCGATCTGGGTAACCTACAGGAAATTCTGAACTAAACCCTACATAACTGAATAGTACTATATGAAATGAGAACTAGACATGAGCAGTGAACCGAGAACAGTCTACCCCGTAAATTAAATAAAGTCTACAATTCAGAATTCCCTGTCGGTTATCCAGATCGATATACACCTGAGGAAGGCCGGAGAACACAACAGTCGAAATGTCGTAAAGACTACAAAGATGAGGACAATAGTCCATGTATAACTAGAGTAAATGATGATAACTCCCCATCCCAGAAATTTCGTTTAAAAACGTTTACTGAATTCTTTTTTTCTGTGCATAATATTTGCTTTACGTAATTTATTACATTTTGAGATATCTTAGCGAAATTATTCCATGAATACGATCCTGTAGCTTTATTTTGGTCAGATTTTTTTTGCTGAAGTTTGCCAGTGTTTCCATTAAATAATTCACTGACCTGCTCTTAAAGAGTAACAGAAATATCAAAGGATTTGTACTCACTATAACATCAGAATTGTAGTAGCATTTTCAAATAGTTATCTTACCTATTTTGCATCTAAAATGAAACTACGATATTCTGTATTCCCAGCTAGTACATTACCTACTCTTACGATTAGAGCAGGCTGATGAAAATAGTTTCTTAAATTGTCTATGTCTACATTAAGATTCGTTATCGACCACCATTTTCCTTTCTGCCAAAGGAAGTTCTACACTTTGATGTTTAAACCTTCAACCAGTCATATCAGCGGAACAAAAGCTGACCTTTTTTAAATTGAGATCATGTTTCTATTTGTGCTTCCTGATAGCGGAAGCCACACAAACAATACTTTATATACAAGTGCGGGAAACAGTTCGTGATTGTAGATATATTACCTGCACTGCAGAGAAAACCAGTGTGCTAATTATATACATGTAATTAAGAGTTGGTCATGTCGAGAAGGCACATTCATTTTTTTTTTTTTGCTTTCAATTTTTCAAAAAGGTATTAAGATATACAAAATAATTGCGTAAATCTATAAATTAGATCGACCTATAATTGTTGCCACTCACCGACTAGCTCATAAAATATGACTCAATTAAATCTTTGTCTAGAGAATAATATCGAATACACGTTTGTAGTAAAAGGCAAGCATCGAAAGTATGAAAACTACATGTACACAAGTACATACTTCGACAGTATCTATGTAGGTTACATTTCAAGCACCGAATGAACTGCGTTAAAACAGTCATGTGCCTCATTTCTGAATATGGGTGTCTTTCGACATAGATATAATTTTAACCCATTGATTCCCACCGTAAAATCCAGTATTACAAAATTAAAAAAAAAATCAGTATTAATTCTAGGTGTCAAAAATAAAATCTGGTATTAACGACTCACTCCCGAGTTAATCTGTCTTCTAGGATGGATACCTAATCCCTTTTGCAGATGCTTGCTCAGGCATATTTTTGTTTATTTAACACCCAGAGCTCGTCTATCGTTTATACTTCAACTATGTTATAATTTCCGGCATTGAGCATATAATCTGGCGATATCAGTAGTTGAACAAAGACTTGTGACTATCACGAACAGTTTCTTCTACCCAATTGTACTCACAATGCATGGGACAAACTTAAATATGGTTTACGGGAATTGCTCAACTCTGTACCAGGCTGTGATTGTCTCCTCAAGGCTATTACATGTTGAAATCACCTTAATAGACAAGTCGACCATACTGAGATTCGATCTCCGGTCGCTTGGTTTGATCACTAACCTTCAAACAATTAGAATATGGTAACTGAAATATTGTGCTGGAAAGTGACTAGATGTTTTTTTGTTAGTTTCTTTTGCTCTATTTTTTTATTTTTATTTTTTTTTTTTTACACGTTGGGATTGTTTTCACATCAAGAAGAAACTTACCTGAAAAAAAAAAACGAACAGGGTTTCATATTTGGAATGATAATCGTTCTATTCACTCGTTCTTGTATTAATTACAGAATTCTAAATATCCTGTATTAATTATAGATTTTTACCTTTAAACCATTAATATACACCCCCTCCATTTGGGGGCAGTGTGTATTGCAGACTTAATCAAACATAAAGATTTTTGTTTTGTTTTGGTTTTTTTTTCTGTCGGAGGAAGGCAGGAAATATGCGATGTGTAATGTTCTGTACAATGCATGATTATTCAGCAATTAAAAGTAAAATACGTAGACGACGCACAACAACTTCGAGTAGGAAAACATTATCAGATGATAAGTATTAATAGTCTCGACTAAAAGGCGGGTTTCAGCTTCAGATAATTATACATCTCAAGTAAAATTCAGGGATGGATTATTAATGCTGCATAATGTCTAACAAGATCCACGCCGTTTCATATCACGACTACAACCAATCAATATGGCGTATTAAAAAGAGGCTTTGCTTATCATAATTGTTAATGTTATTGATTTCAACTGGAAAACTATTGCTAGCTTTCACAGTATCTCCTTTACACACAGTGCATTTTGCTTCATTATTTCACTATCACAACTGATTTATTTTTTCCTCACCTCATATATATATATATATATATATATATATATATATATATATATATATATATATATATATATATATATATAATGAAATGGACTAAGTACAACAATTATTTTATTATATTTTTATAGATACAAATATTTAAGTAAATGCACTGTTTATAATAAACATTTATCGGCTTGAATGTTCGAGAAATCTCAAATAAAATATGTGTCCTCCAGCAGGAATCGAGTCCGTGTTCTCCACGGAACCGCCATATAGCTTGACGTGCTACACCATTTAGCTACAGAGGAAGGCTCTGTCTAGCGAGGTGCAAAAACTGTAATTTAATAGTAGTTCAAAAACAGTCATTTAACCTTGCTAAATTAAAGTTAAAGCAAGTCCTTGTATCAAGTAAGCATCACAATGACAAGAGTTAAACACTAAAAACACTTAAATAGAAAATCCAACGTGCACACACTTCATAAAATGTGAATATAATATTATTTGTTGATATTATTTATTTAACTGCATTCTTTTTGCCAACCGTATTTAGTTATCGAAATGATGAATTTTTTGACACTGTTGAAGATGGTTATAGTCTGAGCTTTAATGATATAAACGACCATTAAACAGACTGGGAACTCATTTTATTTAGTCTTTATCTGGTGGGCATTTGCACAGCAGTTCCGGTTGTCTCTATAACTCAGTTTCTATTTCTCTTTCACGCTCTTTTTCTCTGTCGCTGTTTTTCTCTCTTTCTTCTCAGCCCTTTACTATTTCTGCAACCATATCAACCACAGTCATCTTCTTCTTTCTTCTTCTTCTTCTTCTTCTTCTTATTATTATTATTATTATTATTATTATTATTATTATTATTATCATTATTATTATTATTTGTGTTATCCACCCTTACTATCTCTACTGTGATGTCCCCCTTTCTTCTCTTCACTCTCTTTCTGTCACCATATCAACCATAATCTTCTTCTTCTTCTTCTTCTTCTTATTATTATTATTATTATTATTATTATTATTAATATTATTATTAATATTTGTGTTATCCACTCCCACTATTTTTGATGCGTTGGCCCCTTTATTTTCTTCACTCTCTCTCTGTCACCATATCCACCATAATCTTCTTCTTCTCCTTCTCCTTCTTTCTTCTTCTTCTTCTTCTTTTCTTTCTGTCACCATATCAACCATAATCTTCTTCTCCTTCTCTTTCTTCTTCTTCTTCTTCTTCTTCTTCTTCTTATTATTATTATTATTATTATTATTATTATTATTATTATTTGTATTATCCACCCCATTATCTCTGTTGTCTTGTCGCCTTTCTATTCTTCACCCTCTTTCTGTCACCATATCAACCATAATCTTCTTCTCCTCCTTTTCCTTCTCCTTCTATTTCTTCTTCTTCTTCTTCTTCTTCTTCTTCTTCTTATTATTATTATTATTATTATTATTATTATTATTATTTGTATTATCCACCCACATTATCTCTGTTGTCTTGTCGCCTTTCTATTCTTCACCCTCTTTCTGTCACCATATCAACCATAATCTTCTTCTCCTCCTTCTCCTTCTCCTTCTCTTTCTTCTTCTTCTTCTTCTTCTTCTTCTTCTTATTATTATTATTATTATTATTATTATTATTATTATTTGTATTATCCAACCCCATTATCTCTGCTGTCTTGTCGCCTTTCTATTCTTCACCCTCTTTCTGTCACCATATCAACCATAATCTTCTTCTTCTTCTTCTTCTTCTTCTTCTTCTTCTTCTTCTTCTTCTTCTTCTTCTTCTTCTATGTGCTGTTTCATACCGTTACTATCCCTGCCATGTTATCCCTTTCATTACCTTTTCTCTCGTTCAGCCTCCATGTCAACCCTAATCTTCTTCTTCTTCGTTGCTCACTGTTTCCCTCTGCACATCCTGCCTTTAGAATGTATTGTGAGTGTCAAATTATCCAAGTCCCCTTTCTTCATCTTAAGTTCTAGAAACTTCAATTGTCTCTTACAAGCGTCGTATTCTTAATCAATCAACATTCCCTGAATGTCTGTGCGTTTTCAAAAGCAAAATGAGCTTGGCTTATAAATAGATTATCTCTCTCTTTTTCTTCTATCGCTATTGTCAGAGTTATTTGCTCTATTATTTCCTCTTCGAATTAAATATGTTATCTATTCCCCTTCAAATTCCCATGCTACTGAGAAAATAATGAGCCTACAATCTTTAAGGGTAAAACTCAATATAAATGTCAGCGACCGTGTCGCTTATTCTTTTCCCTGGGTGGCACCCAAATGTGTCATGTGGGAAACCTAACTTATTACTCCGCGTACAGGCAGTATATCATGCGAAAATGAGTGCATGTATTTAACACTTGTTAACGCAAAACCCGGCGAAGGATGTGTTCGATAAATCAGGACTGAAACTGACTATGGACTGCTCGGCAATCACAGAGTGCGGATCAATTGACAAACATCGCTTCGTATCGTCTTTCGGTTCAGATGAGGGCATCTTTTTAGAAAGGGTAATACGAGAACATCTATTAATCGTTTCGTCTTCCAGAATAATGAGATGCGCTTGAAAGTAGGAACAAATTTGCCGGAAAAGTTTCACCGGTGTATCAGTTTTAATGACTAATTTCGCAGCGCTGATTTTTTCCCACACTTTATTTCTTTTTTTTTTTCAATTTTCATCTTTTTTTAGCACTATGCCAACAACGTTATTTTTTTTCTACTTCATAATTTTAAATGGTATTTCTTTCAATACCACTATACCTACCTTAAATGTTGTATCTGTCAATATCACTATACCTACTTTAACTGGTATTTCTTTCAATATCACTATACCACTTTAAATGGTATTTCATTCGATACGACAATACCTACATTAAATGGTATTTCTTTCAATACCACTATACCTACCTTAAATGCTATTACTTTCAATACCACTATACCTACTTTAAATGGCATTTCATTCGATACCACAATACCTACATTAAATGGTATTTCTTTCAATGCCACTACACCTACTTTAAATGGTATTTCTTTCAATACCACTATACCTACTTTAAATGGTATTTCTTTCAATACCACTATACTTACCTTACATGGTATTTCTTTCAATATCACTATACCGACTTTAAATGGAATTTCTTTCAATACCACCATGCCTACCTTAAATGGTATTTCCTTCACTACCACTATATCTACCTTAAATGGTATTTCTTTCAATACCATTATACCTACCTTAAATGGTATTTTTCAATACCACCATAACTACCTTAAATACTATTTCATTCCATCTTCACCATTATACTTACCAGTCAATGGTTTCGTTTCTTTACCACTATACACGACTAAAATTCTGTTTATCTTTACCATTTTGCCTAATTTTAAACGCCGTTGATGTTTTTTTTTATCACTATATTCTTCTATGCTAGCGTCTCTTCAGGACATAGGTGATTATGGGTCTCCACCACTTTCTATCGCGTGTGGCTCTTATCAGTTTTTCTTCCACTGATAAGACCCCAACATCCTGTCCGTCCATCCATTTACACTAGCTCATCAGATATGTTGCTTGCTGACATCCCCTGTCTCTCTGCCGTGTGAGGGTCAAGATTTCCAAGCCCTTCTTCACCATAAAGTATCCAAGGAATTTCAGCTGGCTTTTCCTGATTCTTAATACGGCAGTTTTTTATGTAGTCATTATCTTTAAGACTCCATTTTTGTTTACTCGCTCCGTCCATAGAATTCACATTATCCTTCTGTAGAACCAAATTTCTGCTGCCTCCAGTTTTTACCTCATTTTCCCCAGCATTCTCTTCCATACAAGGGGATGGATATAACATAGCAAAGCAGCATTATTTTCTTTGTCAATCGCTATAACTAACTGAAATGCTAATTCTTGATTACAATACATGACTAAAGTGCAAGTGTTGAATGATAAGTAACGTCTCCAATCCTTTCTGACAAGTGAAAGTCATATGTGCAATCATTTGCTTCCCCTATTACTACAATCTCAACCTGTTAAAGTCCAGGCTTAACAGTTGTCTTCCACGCATATCAGCATAAGCTGTGCTTCTTCTACCTCGAGTTGCCCTCGGGCCTGTGTAAAGTATAAACATCATTGTAAAAAAGGTCTCTAATCCTATAAAATATGTTTATACCATTTTATACTTTATACTGTTATATGCCGTACCTATCAACACTAATGGGTATGTCCCAATCCTCATAAATATGTTGGACGCACGATTGTAAGTGGGGGTAATATGCTGGTAAGTAGTCTACCACTAGCAGTGGTTTACCTACTTCATGTCGCTGGCGAGTATTGTATTTTGGTGATGCTATAAAGATTACCATTTCATTTCCAACCACTGTTTTGGTTATTCCTCATTTAGTAACCCTCTCTAGGTTACAACAGAAAGAAAGAAAGAAAAAAAGAAAGAAAGAAAGAAAGAAAGAAAGAAAGAAAGAAAGTGTTATATACCGTACCTATGAACACTGATGGGTATGTCCCAATCTTCATAAATACATTGGACTCTATTGTAATTGGGGGTAATATGCTGTCTAAGTTAGCCACCCCTAGCAGTGGTTTACCTACTTCCCGCCGCTGGCGATTATTGCATTTTGTTGATGTTATAAAGATTACCATTTCATTTCCAACCTCCGTTTTGATTATTCCTCATTCAGAAACCCTTTCTAGGTAACAACATATACCAGAATATGCAGCATATTATTATTACAATTACATAGTAGTAATAGTAGTAGTAGTAGCAACGTTGAGTGAAGGAGCAGTAGGCCAACAAGGTAAACCTTGGGTATAAACACACAAAGTCCAATATACCCCACCTTTTACACCCAGTCTGATAAGGGTATACAAGACGTATGCGTCACAGCTAGATGTGCGCAATATGGTGACAGATTTTGATTAAACTAAATGGAAATGAAATTAGAAATACCCCAGCTCGGGTAGCTGAGTGAGATCAGAAGGTTTCCTATTGAGAGTCTGCCCTAATTATTGAGATGTGGCTCCCAAGTTACCTTGCAAGTATTGACCTAGGATATGATTGAACATATATAAACTTTTGTCTTAAATTACATATAAAATAACAAATCTCTAACTGAGAATCAGACACTTACTCCAGTCAAGTTTCAGGAGTTGTTATTCAACAGTGTGCAATCTACAATCGATAAACCATTTGCTCGAAAAATAAAAATACCATTTAACAAGTCACTTTTGTCAGAATTTTGTTGATTATGAAAAGACACTTTGCTCAGTCGGGGAGCGGAGTATGAAGGAAACTTATTTAAAATATTTCCAACGACCAATATGTCTAGATAGACTAACCGTTTCTATGTTTTTATCGCTGTTATTGTTAAATCATTGTCAGTCGTTTACTCTGCATCAACATAAGACATTATTCTCATGTTAATATTATGAACCTACTCTTCCAGGATGGCTCAAGGCATGTTGGAAGAGATCAGGTTACCAATTTTTTCTATGGTAGACTAGTTACCAATCAGGGCTATAGAACCCAGTCTGTGGTGCTATTCAACCCATAAGTGGAAGGCGAAAAATGAATTTATATCTTTCCTAAGGGTATTTGCTCGTAACTCAATGTAACGAACCCAACTGAAATTCGAACTCGGCCTTCCGTGTTTAAATTCTGAACCGATATCTATTGCACCACAAAGCACATTGTTACGTTATTGTTATAAAGAAACGACAGTTCAACTACATGTCTGATTAATGTAATAACCTTTCTTCATTGGCATTATAATGACGAGTTTACGCTCCAGGCAATGAAACACTATTCTCATTCTGGAAATTGCCATTCATTTTCTGATCTGACATATCTTTTTCATTTAAGATTAGCACCGGCTATCCAACATCTAAGTTTGCCTAATCTTTTGTAATATCATCCTTCTCTGTTTTTTCGATCTATTCCTATGTTTGTCAAAGGCGAGTTTGCTTATTGGCCACCTTGGTAGCGGGTTCTATCTTTTCGGGATTCGGCTTTATAAAGCAAAGACAAGAATTGAAAATGGATTCTTAAGTCAGATCTTCTTGTATGTGTTTTGTCCCTTCATGGCTTTCCACAAATTCCTGTCTTTTTCAGTTGTTAGTCAAACTTGTCTATTCGCTGTCTCTTCTAATCCCTATTCTGTCGCCCTGTATACAAGATCGTGAGGTAAGTTACGCGCTGATTCCCACTGCTCGACTTGCCTTTAATATGTTTAATATGTACTGCCAATGTTAAATTGTCTAAGCCCTCTTTCTGCATTATGAGCCGCAGAAATTTCAATTCTCTCTTATTGTTATTATTATTATTATTATAAAATTATTATAAAATTATTATTATTATTATTATTATTATTATTATTATTATGATAAAATTGCAATTATTAACATTATTATAATGACAAAAATTGTTGGTATTATTATGTTAATGATAAAATTATTATTATTATTATTATTATTGTTATTATTATTATTGTTATTATTATTATTATTGTTATTATTATTATAATGATAAAAAAATTATTATTATTATTATTATGATAAATTTTAATTATTATTATTATTATTATAAAATTTGCTATTATTAACATAATTATAATGATAAAATTTGTTGTTAATATTATAATTATAATGATACAATTATTATTATGATAAAATTATTATTATTATAAAATTATTATTATTATAATGATAAAAATTATTATTATTATTATTATTAT